AGAAAGCTACTTAAGAGGGTGGTTTGATCCACACACACAAACACCACTCCTGCTGGGAACCCCGAAGGCGGGGGAAGCCACGCCTCCCAGCTGAGGAGAGGCGCTGGGCCCTTTAAGGAGCCTCCACCTGTCGACTGGCTATTCAGTGATGGCCCAATGGGAGAAGGGGGGAGGAGTCAGGTGACATCCAGGAAACAGGTGCCATCTTCAACGCTGTCTTCTTTGGGGGGAGAGAAGAGGGCTGATGGGGGGCATGCTGCTTGGGGTTGCCAGCCTCCAGGCGGCGGCTGGAGATCTCCCGCTATTACAACTGGGGTGCCATCTCCTCCCTCCCCCACCCCACAAGTGCCCTTTAATTCGAGTCTCTCACTTCTTGATGCTATTGGTCAGTAGAAGGTGGGTGTCTTGCTTCTCGTCCAATAGGAGGGCAGCGCCGAGGTAGCCAATCCGTTTCTCGTGGAATTTCTGCGAGGCGATGAGCTTCAGGCACTCCATCTGATTGGGGGCGGGAAAAGAGAGAAATAATTCTCCAAATGCCAATAAGATGCCACCATTCCCACGCCCCAGCTGAGATCCCCTGGCTTTGGGGTAGGGCTCAGATTAAGTTCAGACATTCCAAGCTTTCCCTCTGAACCGGTGTTTCCGTGCCACAACTTAATACTGTAATATGAGCAAGAGATGAGCAGGTTTGGAGGTTGGTCCTGGAGTTCTCACAGAATTACAACTGATTTCTAGACTACAGAGATCAGTTCCCCTTGAGAAAATGGCAGCTTTGGGGGGTGGACACTGTGGCGTTATACCCCACTGAGGTCCCTTCCCGTGGGGTGAACTCTATGGTATACCACAGAGTCTAAAACAAACTGAAGTCCCTCCTAGGCAACGGCCCCAGATCTCCAGGGATTTCCCAAGCCGACGCTATTTGGAGTCAGCAGCTGGGATATCTAGTGTAAAAAGTAAAGGTTCCCTTGCTCGAAAGCCAGTCGAATCTGACTCTAGGGTTGCGGTGCTCATCTCCATTTCAAAGCCGAAGAGCCAGCGCTGTCCGAAGATGTTTCCGTGGTTTATGTGGCCGGCATGACTAAACACCAAGGCGCACGGAACGCTGTTCCCTTCCCACCTAAGTGGTACCTATTTATCTACTTGCAATTTCTTGCTTTCGAACTGCTAGGTTGGCAGGAGCTGGAACTAGAGACAGGAGCTCACTGCTGAACTACTGACCTTCCACAGCCTGCAGTTCAGCGTCTTAACCACTTGAGCCACCGCAGCTCCTATATCTAGTGTACCTGTCCGAAATACGCCGGGTAGCCCAGCATGTGGATGTAGAGCAACTTGGCTAAGTTGGAGGCCCGGGTGTCAGGTTCGTCACCCCGAAAGGCCCCCCGAATCTTGGCGCTCTCTCGCTGGACCAGCTCCCGTTCCTCCGCTTGGGTCCGTGCATTCCGTATCGTCCGGATTAAGATTGGTAACGTCAGCGGTGCTTCCGGCATCCTAGAGATGGGGAGTGGGATAAAAGAGCGGGGAATGCAGGGGGGCACCTCTGGACACCCCAGTCCTATATCCCCCGTCATTTGGGGAACATAAGAACATAAAAGAAACCAGTGTTGGATCAGGCCAGTGGCCCATCCAGTCCCTCTGTCACACAGCGGCCAAAAATGCCAGGTGCCATCAGGAGGTCCACCAGTGGGGCCAGGACATTAGAAGCCCTCCCACTGTTGCCCCCCCCCAAGCACCAAGAAGACAGAGCATCACTTGCCCCAGAGCCCCTATCTATACCTTGTGGCTAATGGCCACTGATGGACCCCTGCTCCATATATTTATCTAATTCCCTCTTGAAGCCGTCTATGCTTGTAGCCGCCACCCCCTCCTGTGGCAGTGAATTCCAGATGTTAATCACTCTTTGGGTGAAGAAGGACTTCCTTTTATCCGTTCTAACCTGACCGCTCAGCAATTTCATGGAGTGCCCACGAGTTCTTGCATTGTGAGAAAGGGAGAAAAGGTCCTCTCTCTCGACCTGCTCTATCCCAGGCATAATCTTATAAACCTCGATCATGTCCCCCCTCAGCCGTCGTTTCTCCAAGCTAAAGAGCTCCAAGCGCTTAGAAGGTCTAATTGGAATCAGAAGCAATGAGGGCAGAGCTGCGCGATTGCATTCCAAGCCCAGGCATCAAGGCTGGAACACCAGCGCCTTTGGGAATGTCCAGAGTGCCTACACCTTTCCATGGAGACAGTTCAAGTCTGTCTGTAGCAGTAGAAAAGAGCAAGAGTCCGGGAGCACCTTAAAGACTAACAAAATATGTGGCGGGGAGGAGCTTTTGGGAGTCACTGCTCACTTCTCACTTCTAAAGAAGTGAGCAGTGACTCCGGAAACCCCCCCCCCGCCACGTATTTTGTTAGTCTTTAAGGTGCTCCCAGACTCTTGCTCTTTTGTACACCTTTCCATGTCAGTTTCTGACTCCCAGTAAAGCACAAGCCCCAACACCTCTCTGTTTAGGATGCAGACTTTATATTCTCTAAAGCTCTAGATTATTTCACATAGATTACTCTGATCAAACGGCAGAGCCGTCCCCACCAATGCTCCCTCTAAGCTGTGGAGTCCTGTGAGCAGGAATTCTACTTTGTGAGCTCCTGGCATTAAAGTTGTGAGCGAGCGATTTGGCTGCTGCATAAATCAGTTTGCTCTGGAGCCCTCCTTCCTGAGCTAAGACGAAAATGTGTGAGCCGGAGGCTAAAAAAACTGTGAGCTAGCTCACACTAACTCAGCTTAGAGGGAACACTGGTCCCCACCTCTTTGGCAAGCAATTACAGTGGACACAGGGCTTCTAAACCACATTAGTCCTGTATGTTGGGCATCGGCAGATGGTTATTCCTTACAAACTGGAGTAAAAGAGCGAAATTACAGGCATGCGGCGTCAGAAATGAGTGACCGTCCCCCAAAACCTCAGTCAGAACCCTTCTCTCTGTCCCCCTTTCCTTCCTCTCCTAAACAGTGGGCCCTAAGAATTCTGCCCTCAGATGAAGTCTCCGCCTGGGTTTCTCAGTCAAACCGACCACGTTTTCTGCTCCCTCTTCTGGGGGGGTTTGTTCCAGTTTGATGGACAGCTTAAAACTGGGCATGCTTGAAATGAATCAGTTAATGCAGATCAGCAGCAGGCAGAGACCAGTGTGTGTGTGGGGGGGGGGATGGGCCACTACACACAGCGCCCACAAATGCTAATCCACGCATGCCAGTCCATATCCCCATGCGAGCGCCACGTTCTTTTAGGACGGCTCCTCCCCCATTTCAACTCCCACCAACATTCAGTGCTTCTTTCCTTTCATCTTCCAAAGTCCTCCCAAATTCCTCCCTCCACTCATCACCTGTCCAGGAGTCCAGTTTGCTCTCAGGGCTCCCGATGGTTCTGGGGCACACAGGCAGCTGGGCCCCCCCCCTTCTATGCCCCCCCTCTTCTGCCCGGCCAACTTCTTGTGTTTCCGGAAAACCGGACGGCATACCAGCCAGGTGAACTCACCTGAGCCCTGGAAAGTTTCTGGACGCAGGAGAGCCCTCTGCTGGGCACATCTGGGAAAGGACGAATTCAGGTACTTTTATCTGGAGGGCCAGCTAAAGACCAGCTGAACAGCATCAGCTTCTTCCAGAGCCCCAAAGCAATACAATGAGGGATGTGCCAATGAGCAGATGTACTGTGTACAGCTGTTAGCTATCGAAGATAAATGAAGCCTCCATGTCCAGAGGTAGTATATCTCTGAAAGCCAGGTACTGAATACAAACGGGGGGGGGGGGGTCTACCTGGGGGGGGGGGGGGGGATCACCTTTATGCCTTGTCTGTGAATTTCTCAGAACAGGATGCTGGACTTCAAGAAGAAATGTCATCCTCAATATTTTTTGACGGACAGGAGCCTTTTGGTCACCTGCTGTCCCTTCAGGCCAAGCTTTGACCGTCCAACTTTGGAGAACCAGTTTGGTGTGGTGGTTAAGTGCGCGGACTCTAATTTGGGAGAAACGGGTTTGATTCCCCACTCCTTCACTTACAGCTGCTGGATGACCTTGAGCAAGCCATATTTATGTCAGAGCTATTCTCTCAAGGACAGTTCTGGAAAGAACTCTCTCAGCCCCACCTACCTCCCAGGGTGTCTGTTGTGGGTAGGGGGAGGGAAAGGAGGATGTAAGCCGCTCTGAGACTCCGAGTGAAGGGTGGGGTATAAATCCAATCTCCTCCTCCTCTTCTCCTTCCAGAAGCTGGTGTGCCTCTCTTGTAGCTGCAGATTGGGTTGAAATTCGGGAGGCTCGCCCCCACCCTCATCCCTTCTTTGCCATCTCGGGGAGTATCTTTCCCTGTTGAAATTCTGCCGCTTGTGCAGCTGCTAAAGGACCTTGCTAGAAAAAGAGAGTCTCCCGCACTTCTGATACTAGCTAACTTTTGCTGTGATCCCTGAAATGGCAACTGGGTATGATTCCTTCCTTTCTCTTTTCTTTCTTTTTTTTTTTTGCGGCTGTGCTCTGCACACCCGCGTTTCCACCTTTCAGTTTTTTGGGTAGTTCTTTGGATTTTTTTTAAAAAAAAGCGAAATACACATCCACCTTAATGAAATACACACACACAGGGGAAGGTGGGTGCATCCATATTGATGGGGAAGAAACAGTGACGTCTTTGTAGAGTAGCAAAGTAGCGCGAATGATGCAGCAGCAGACCAAAAGCATGCCAGGAAAATGAAAAGCGGCATGCTCCAACCACGGGACCCTATTGGAAAATACAGGTGCAGAACAGCTAGTAGCGTTGCCAGCTCCAGGGTGGGAAATTCCTGGAGATGGGGGGGGGGAGAGCCTGCGGGTGACGGAGCTTGGAGATGGGGAAGGGGAGCTCAGCAAAGACCTGATGCACAGAGTCCGACCTCCAAAGCTGCCGTTTCCTCCAGGCGAACTGATCCCTACAGTCTAGAGCTCAACTGCAATTCCAGATCTCCAGGGGATGTTGGCAACCGAGGCGGGACCATCAGACCTGCAGTCCTGGGATTTACCCAACACTGAAATCCTGTACAACTAGACACCGGAGTCTGACCCTGGGTGGGGGCTCCTGGACCTGGCCATAGCCCCCCCATTCAGAACTGCTGGCGCGGGTTCAGTCCTCCAGCGGGGGCATCGAGAGACCGGCTATGGGAAAAGGACGGGCACTGAGCAGCCGGACACAGCCACCGAGAGGTGCCTAGAGCGTACCCAACCCAGAGGCCCTCCCTAGAACTAGGGCACGCCTCTTCTTCCCCGGAAGCTCCTGGAATCGAGTTTCGCTTTGGCCACAGAGACGTCGTTTTCTCTTCCCAAGGAAGACGGCTAGAGCGTCGGTCCTGCGCTGTAGAAGGGAACGTCCTCCTTAGGTCCGGGCGGTGCTGCAGGCGGACATCCCGCGGAGGAGGGCAGAGAAAGAGCTTCTGCAAACAGGCCGGGGGTGGGGACTTTCTGGTGCAATGCTCCAAATGCATCTTAATTGCCGCAAAAGGCCAGCGGAGGAATAGCGCGTGCCTGGGGCGGAGAGACAACCTGCCCTTCCAGGATTCTCCCCCAGTCATAGAGTTGGAAGGGATCTGATCCACCCCCTTGCACAATGCAGGAAATTCAAAAATCTCAGCCACTTTGGGCATTCTGTCCTAACAGCAGGGGCCATTCCGTAGAAAAAGAGCTGCAGGAGCTCATTAGCATAACTTATTAGCATATGCCAAACCCTCTGACATCACTGGAAGTGTGCACCAGCCCCTCTGACAGGCAGAAGCACCTGGGATCTATTCTTCCCCCCCCCCTTCCCTCCCTTCGCCTCCAAGTCCAGCGAAAGAAAAGGGTAAGGGGAGGATCTCAGGCGCTTTTGCCTGACAGAGGTGGTGGCGTGCCCACAGCCAGCCTGGGTTAATTATAGAATCATAGAGTGGGAAGGGATCTCCAGGGTCATCTAGTCCAACCCCCTGCACAATACAGGAAATTCACCAATACCCCCACACACCCCAATGACCCCTGTTCAACGCCCAGAATATGATTTTAAAAACCTCCAGGATCTCGGGGGGCCAAACTGACCTGGAGAAAAATTGATTCCTGGCCCCAAAGTGGCGATCAGCATTTCCCTGGGCGTGTAAGAAAGGGCCACAAGAACTAAGCACTGATGCAACCCTTCCTGCTCTACCTCGTGTGATTTGCCTAAGTTCACACAATCAGCATTATGATCTTTTTAAAGTTGAAAGCATGATATAAATGCAAAGGACTATTTGTAAGATTATCTGTAAGACACAAGACCAGGACGCATCTCACTTCTGGCAATCAGCTTCCACTGCCCCACACACACCCCACACTGGAATAAGAACATAATATCAGGCCATACCACATTGCAATAAAGCCCCTACAACTGTATACAGAAATACTGAGCTTCCCTACCATTTGCCACAACTAGCCCACCACACAACCAGGATCAAGACTCCTAAGTGGACCAACAGACAGGAGAAACTGAGTATTACATTACAACACCTCTGGAACATTACAGATCAGTAGAGGCAGCACTGCACAGTGGTCAGAGTTGCAGATTGATGTG